TAAGGACAGACGGCGATTGCACATCGACCGCTTCCACCCCGATTGCGACATTAGCCAGTTCCTCACCCTTGGCGGCAAACCCGGTGGCTCGCAGAGGCCACGGCCAGAAAGGGTCAAAGCCTTGCTAGACCTGCAAAGGAGCGTGTCGTCGCAGAGGGCATTGAGCCGAACCCAGGAACATCAACACGTGGTGGCGCATCATCAAAGAAGTTGCAGCTGGACTATGTCAACGTCAATAGCTATATCAATGTGGCGGTTGCTGTCGCCAACCTCCGGAAGCAAAACGCCAAGCCGAGCATCTTCTGCGTGGCTGAGGTCAAAGCAAGCAACGCTCAGACAAACTCCCTCACCTTGCAGTTGAGGCGCTTGGTTTATCGGACTTTCTGGGCGCACGAACCTGACGGGACGTGCACTAGAAGAGGCAAGACCATCGCTGCTGGCGGCATTATGGTTGCAGTGGTCGACACGGAGGCCTGTGCAGTCCTCGACAAGTGGCAGCACACACAAGGTGAAATCACTCACTTTGATCTGGGCTACTCCTTCTTGACAGTCGCTTGGCGACGGCCAGGAGCAGAGAGAGACCAGTACGACGCGGAGGTCAATACACCTGCTGGCACAAAGGACGACGAAGACCACTACATCGCTGCGAGATGGGATGGCGACCGAGCCGTGGACTGGGGCGCCGGCAACTGGCCAGGAGACTGCACGCCTGTTTCGGTTTGGACAAGTTAGGCGACCACAAGCAGCTCACCCTGAGGGGCGCGTGGCCGCGAAGCCGCAGCACCGTTCACCAGCTGGTTCCGACTCGGCACTGGGAAGCTCCTGATGGTGTTCCCCCTGCAGTTTGGAGAGCTCACATCGCCGATGCAGCTTTGCACGAAGTGCACACCATCATGCTTGTGCGACTGCTGCCGGCCAAGGACCCACCCTTGCAGGCCCTCGTGACAGCCGGAGGCCCTCTTTCCGTATCCAGTCTCCGGGATCCAAGATATGGAAACCAAAGAATTGGAGATCGCTGTGTGCTTTACACACAGTACTGAGAACCAAGTTCAAGATAAGACAGCGCAACCTTGATAAGACAGCGCAACCTTGAAGATACATGTCTGGCCAGCCAGACCAAGCTTGTTGTTGAAAACAGCCGCAATGGCCGTTAATCGTTGTGCATGTCTGCACATGCACCCATGTTCCTACAAGAATTCTCACACCACAGATTGCGACAGCCGTGCACGTCTGCATATGCCCTCATGCACATGAACTCTCACACCACAGATTGCGGCGTACGCACTCATGTCAAATCGCACAACCTAGAAACAAACACTTTCAGATTGGAATTGCAAACTGTTTGACCGCCAGCTACGGACTCAGCCATCCAGGTGCGTCTCTGCAGGTACGTTTACCTGTCCTAATCCACGGAGCTTCGTTGGCAGAGGCCGTGAAATTACAACCTTCTGCCCTTGGCAACATGAATGTCAACAATGCACACAGCCTGACAAGTTCAAGATGCAAGGTTTGTCGCATGTACTTCACATCACTTCACTTCCCGTGACGGTTCCGACGAGCGGATCCACTGAGGTCCGGGGCATCAGACATTGCTGTGCGATCCTGCGCTCCACATTAGCGGTACTGGCCCCACAGTGGCGCACCTCCTTCACACCCGTGCGGTGTGAGCGGAGGCTGCCACCCCAAGCACCGGGCGTTTACTCCAGTTGCAGACACATTAGCACTTGCATGCTTCCCTCTTAAGCTGCAGATGCCAACAAAAAGTTCACAGTTTCAGCTCTCACTGGTGAGCGGCGTGTGTTTCACTCCCATGAGCTCCAAGAGCTCCACCACTTTGCGCTTTTTAGGACCACGAGGTGCTATTCCATGTTTCTGCTCCCCCCTCAGCCTTCTGCAAGGCGCTCTCGATGATGGCTGCGAAGGGTTCCGCTTTGTCGCATGTACAGCAGAATAACACAAACAGGTCCTGAAGGACCACTTGTAGACTGTACACAGCAGTCCGGCGCCAATGAGCACAGAAGAAATGGAGATATGCACACTAGATGGTTTTAAAGGTGCCATATCAAGTTCATGGGCGTCTTCCAAGACGCTCTGCATCAGTGACTATCCATTGACCCTGCGGACATCCTACATTTTTGAATCGTCCAATGCACCAAATACAACCAAGCTGCATCAAAGTTCGATGTAAAAATACCGCAAAATCGACACTGCCAATGTACCCAATACAACCAAGCGGCATCAATGTCCGAAACAAACAAATAAATCCCCCAATGTCAACACGGCCAATGTACCGAATACAGCCAAGCCATCGTCTTTCCATGCAACGTAACACGCCCAACCGTCCGAAGCTGCACGTCCATTCCACATCACTTGCACGTCACTTGCACGTCACGTACACGTCACTTACACGTCACTTGCGCGTCACTTGCACGTCACTTGCACATCACTTGCAGATCACTTGCACGTCCCTTGCACGTCACTTGCGTGTCACTTGCACGTCAATTAGTTGTCTACCGTGCAATGCACTGCACACTTTGCTTTTCTCAAAGCAACAAAGGCCGTCTGAGCCATGCACATCAAGGGTCTCAAGATCTCCGGTTGATTGATCTCCAGACATGACTGTTGATTTCCGTGTGATCTCCAGGGTGAACATGTAGTCAAATCCTACCTGATTTCCAGACCTCCTGGCCTTGCGCCGGCACAATTCGCAGAAAACGACGGGCCCTCATGAGGGAGCTCGCGCCGTGCACAACCTTGAAGATACATGTCTGGCCAGCGAGACCAAACTTGTTGTTGAAGACAGCCGCAATAGCCGTTAACCGTTGTGCACGTCTGCGCATGCACTCATGCTCCTACAAAAACGCTCACACCACAGATTGCCACAGCCGTGCACGTCTGCATATGCCCTCATGCACATGAACTCTCATACCACAGATTGCGGCATACGCACTCACGTCAAATCGCACAACCTGAAAACAAACACATTCAGATTGGAATTGCAAACTGTTTGACCGCCAGCTACGGACTCAGCCATCCAGGTGCATCTTTGCAGGTACGTTTACCTGTCCTAATCCACGGAGCTTCGTTGGCACAGGCCGTGAAACTAGAACCCCCTGCAACATGAATGTCAACAACGCAAACAACCTGACAAGTTCAAGGTGCAAGGTTTGTCGCATGTACAGTAGAATAACACAAACACGGAGCAAAGTTGTGCAACATGAAATTAAGGCGGGGACGGGGTTCTTGAGCATATGCCCGACACTGCATCTCTAGATATGAGAATGACCTGAGTGAACTCAGGCCTGCACAAAATCATTAGCATTATAGTGGATGCAACAACTGATAATAACGTGAAAACCGTGTTGGCCATCAGATCCGAATTCGCAGTTAGTATCTTTGTACGCGGCTGATGCAAGGATCTGGTCACAGCTCTAACACATCCTGGCCAGACACAAGCACCCCCCCGACACAAACAAGTACCAGCCGAAGTGTGCTGGTCATCGCTGTTGCTTGTGTTTTGTGCTGCGGTGCAGCATCCTTCTCTGTGGCGGTTTGCTTTGGATGCTGTGAATTGTGACGTGCTCCTCTCACCACTGTCCGCCCGTTCGATCGTTACTTCTGTGGTTTGCTTGACTTGTTCTTTGGTTGCAGCAAGCCGAAGACCAGCTTAGCGATAGGCGTCCTATGCCGTGCTCCGGCTCGTAGACAGTCGAGCCGCGCCGTGTGGGCATGTCAGGGTGCCCCCAGCGGCCCTTTCGGCTCTAAGGTGACTGTTTTGGTACTGTACATTGGCGCATATTCCCGAAGGCACACATGTGCTTCTTTTGCGCCACCCGGTTTCTCGCCGTGTCTGTGTGTTTGTACAAGTGAACAAACAAATGCATACGTGAATGCAGAAAACATGCACACACTATGTAGTTGGTGCGCGTGTGTGTGGGTGTGCATACGAAAACCTGAGTCTTGCATACAGCGTGACAGCTAATCTGAGCAACTTTTTGCGCCACGAACAGTGTGTGCACACATTCTGCCAGTTAAGTTTCCAACTGGCCTTGTAGATGGACTGCGACAGAGTGTCAGAGCGGGCGCTAAGATTTTCCTATCCGGATGCAGTCGGAGAGCTGTTTCTGGTTCAGCGTCTTGTCGAACCGCACGGCGAGGCCACACAAACCTGGCCCGCATGGCTGGCATCGCTACAGTTCTGCAGACTCATGCTGGGTTTGCTGATTGAGGACCAGTGCTCCTGGGCAGTCCCTGCTAGCTTTACGGCCGCGGAGAAGAAGAATCAGGTGCCTCCGGCACGGTCTCGTGAACGCAATTCCCACCATCTGCACCCCAGAAATAGCCTGGGAATGCGGCGAATGCTGCCGACCTGCGGTTGTAAGAAGCCGCCCCTGTTCGCAGGTGCACTGCCACGAGGGTGGCGACAACTGCAAGGCGAAGGGCGCCGAACAGATTGTGGTCTGAGCTTCTCGGAGAATGGACGGCTTCTGTGTTGCTCTGCTTCTGTGTTGCAAGCTCGGTTGTGTCTTTGAAAGCTGGTCGAAGGTATGTGCCAACATCCTGATCCCGGCGCCGTCTGTCGGATCTAGTGTCGTGTGTGTGTGTGTGTACGTCAACCTGTGTGTCAGCACGATGCTGAGAGTTTGTGTGCAGTCTTTTCGTCGTCTAACGAAGCTGTTCATAGCCTTTCCGCAAAGATCAATCGCTTCCTTCGCGGAAGTGCCTGCTCGTCCAGCAAGTAGGACTGCCTCGAAGGACTTTGAACTGAGAGGCCAACCAGGCTCTCGTGGCCGCTGGTGGTGCATGATTGGTCCCATCGGTGCCAAGAGGGTCAAAACAAGAGCTCGCGAAATGTGCTCGTCTTGCGTCATGTTTCTTTTCCCTAAACCCTAAACCCTGAACCCCCGACACCCGAAGCCCTTACTGCTGTTTCTTTTCCAAGTTGGAAGAATCATGCAGCGTTGCACCTGGACAGAGACATCTCAGACAGCCCCGTGCAGGTCGGTAGCTTCAGCCCAGGAAAGTATTTCGAGGAAAAATATTTCTGGGAGAAGGCAAACGCATGGTGCCCAGTTGGTAGTCCCAGATCCAGAAAGGTATGCGACAGTCGAAGTACTTTTGAGAAGCCGCTCCGAATGTAAGGTTGGGCCTTTCTTCCTCTTTCTCTTCTTTGTGCCCACCTTCTACCGTTCCTTCAAGGTGCGTTGATTTTGAACTGCAAAGGTGGTCGGGATTTAGCCCTCAACTGGGTCTTCGGTCTTGTGTCCTGTTGCTGAACAGCTCGTGGTACTGTAGCAGGCAAGCTAGTCACCGGAAGGATTTCTACTGGACGCAGCAGCTGCGCAAGCTGAACACCGAAGAGATCATCAGTGACCGTTATGAGTGGCTTCGTCAGGCTCTCACAGGCAGAAAATCCTACAAGGAAGACTGGGGTCGTTCTTGCACACTTTCACTTCGCTGAGGATTGAACATGCTGAAGGACGAAGTTGAGGCTTGTCTGCTGGCGCAGGTCGCCGGCACGTTTCCCCAGCTGTCTTGTACTTGGAGGTTCATGGGTAGTTATAAGTAGGGTTATAACTAGGGTAACTACAATTCTTAACCCATATTAGGGGACTTATAACCCCACTTATAACTACCCATGAACCTCCAAGTAGCCCAGAGCTACCCAGCCTTGTTCGGTGCTCTGTCACTTTTTGAAGGTGCCGGAGGGAGGGATCAAGCCCTTGGAGCTGGGCCCTTCCAAGGTGGAGTGAGGCCGTCTCCTCGACCGGCCCTTCTTGGAGGTTCATGGGTAGTTATAAGTGGGTTATAAGTCCCCTAATATGGGTTTTAATTATGGTTACCCTACTTATAACCCTACTTATAACTACCCATGAACCTCCAAGTTGACTTCTTACTTTCTGCTGTGAGTCGGATTTGGTTGTGTAAGGCTGGTGTTGGCGACAGGAGTGTGCCTTGGCTCTTCAGATGGCCGAATCCGTTCAAAAGGATCTTAGGAGGTGCAGTGCTCTGTGCTGTCCGAGGATCGATTTTTGATTGGGACGGATCTATGGAGCAACATGCCACTAGAGACTTGCGGTAACGGTGCTGTGCCCTTGAGCTGGACACGTTTGCCTCCTAGATTCCAGTTGCAGCTCTGGAAAGCATGTCATCAGCATCAACCTCTCACAGGTATTCTTTTCTAGGCCATGTTTCGCGTGGCTGGTTCAATTTCATGGCGCTGCCACGATGTGAAAATGAGTTGCAGCAGGGTGCTCATTCAGACTGTGTCGCATGCAACTGCACTTCGTCCACGGCTTCCGTGACACGTGGAGTCGTCTTTCTCTGCCGCTTGCGGGATCGCAGCCGGGAGTCCTCGGGCAACGTCTGGAGGCTGGCTGTTAGGGGAGACGCTGCAATCAGTTCTCCCTATAGACCCTAAACCCTAAGCCGTGGATCTGGCAGAGGTCACGAGGTCATGGAGGCATCTGCGGCCCTGGCGGGGCCCAAGATGCCGAAGGCTCGTGTACTAACTTCCAGCTAAAGAAGGCGAGGCGAAGCAAAGGTGGCGCCCCAAAATTCCAGGCTCGTCGCTCGGTGCCGATTGTCCTCGCCTTTCTGGCTTCTGCGGCGGCAGCTACCTACTGGGCACCAGTCAGCTTCTAAGCAATGCGCTGCAATGCTGGCCAAAGCAGGAAAAGGTTTGATGTTTGATGGCTGAAGGTTTGGGTTGGTGGAGCTTCACGACAGCCGCGCAGGACTTCGAACTGTTCATGTCGGGCTGGCCGCAGTTGTCTGCGGTGTGACATACGACATACTGACCAGGACAGACCTCGTTCAGTGCCATTCCACGCAGCACGTCGCCCTCCCGAACCCGCAAAATATCGAGGTGCCTCCGTGCTGAACCTCAACATCGTAGATACTTCTGTGTGTTGTGCGCAGCTGCAGGCACGCCGGAACTATCCTGAGTATAAGTTCGATGAGGAATCTCGGATCTTGCTTGGGCTTGTCTAGGCAGTGCATGACAACTGTTCGCTGATAGAGTTACAGAGTACATGTTTTTTTTCTCTTGTCGGTGCGAAGAGTAGCAGCTCATCTGTGAAGGACGGCGGCATGTATGACATCATCAAATATCCTTTGCTGACAGCGAAGGCCGAGTAAACCGTATGCTTTCTTGGGAAATCGTGACTTGTGGCGGCATGAAGCCAGAGTGGATCCGACCAGTGCTTTTGTAAAAGTTGCAGGCGTGCCGTTTGCTTGAAGAGTACAACATCTACACCTTCATGGTGGATCGGAAGGCCAACAAGCTACTTGGCGTGCACGGTGCCCTGATCACGCAAAACTCTCCTGGGTTTCATTGCTTTGGCCGGGCTTCCACGAAACGCAAACTGTTGTCTACCCGACGTGAACCTGGCTTCGGCTTTGTGATGCTTGGTCGTTGAGTCGGATTTGGCTTCTCAATTCCGAGGCCACAGATTCGTGCTGCCATTGAGACGATTTTCGGCGTCAAGGTCTGTTGACTTCAACTTGGTCATCGCTGGACGTTGCCCATTCTGCTGCATCGCGATGCAGGTGATCAAATGCAACACGTTGATACCTTCTTCCAGATACCAAATTGCGCAGGGGGCCCAGAGGAGGAGGCTCTGATTCCTTTGGCTCACCTTGTTTCTCGACAGAAATCATCTTGAACAGTTTCCGTGCCATGCTGACAAGGTATGGCATGAAAATTGGCAGAAAATCCCTCTTCAAGAAGGCGTATGTGCAGGTCAAGGAGCAATTGTGAGTTGGTGGTCGACAGTCTGATAGTTGCAGTGGTGTGTTTTGGCGGATTAGGGGCTGAGAACCGCTTGTGCGCGCAGCGTCCGTCCCACAACGGTGATTTTGCCCAGGAGGGGGACTCGATTGACCTCTTCCCAGATGACCCGGAAGCAGTCTAAGTGATTACCTTTCTCACCCACAGCTCGCAGCAACGACTGATGTCGCAGTGCCCCATACAGGAAAGTAAGGTCACAGGAGAAGCCTGGAATCTATTCCCGGTGACATCTAACTTGTTTTCAGGCTTAAACGACTGCGCACACTTCAGTCGTGCGACTCACAAAAATGATAGCAACAGGGGTGCATGTGGTCTGTGTGCTCTGCTCTTCGCTGCTCCCCTCGTCAGGAAGCGGAAGCCGGCGAGGGATCTTATGCAGCTGTGGTTCAAGCAAATAAACATGTTGCCACTGACAGATGCTGAGATAGGATCACATGGTAGAAGGGCGGGGCTTGTTCAAGCTTTTTGGCCGATCGTGCGGGTAGTCAATGCGCACATCATGATCTTAGCGAATGTTGCGTCGACTCTTCGCGTGGCCTTCGTGCGCACTCCTACTGCGGCATGACTGCATAAGCATTGTTTTTGCACTTTCATGCTTTCGTGTCACGTCTAGCACATTCCGGCCTTCCGCTCTCTTCGAGGATTGATCGTGTACGCGCAATACGATGCGACTGATCCTTGCCGTGTTATGGGCCATCCGCCAGACAACGGCGACTTGCCATGCCAGTCGCAGCAGTTGTAAGTTGAACTCACATGTGGCAACAGCTACTGGCCTCCTTGTCCCAGGCACAGCCAGCTAATTCAATCGAGGCTGGCTCAGGGATGATGTCGAGTGCATTCTCGCATGTCCTTTAATAAGTTCAAGGCAGTGGAAGCAGAAGTGGAGATCTGTTACAACAAACGCATAAATAATGAGACGGTGTCTCCGTTTTGTGGCAAGACGCTTGGCGCCAAAGATCGTACAGTTACCTGCACGAATCTGCAATGTGCATGTCCTGAAAGACAGACTATCAGCAAACGCTAACGCGGATCACTGAGGAGATGGGCAGTGATCAACGCAGCGAATGTGCGAGAGTTCTGGGAGGTCCATGAGCTGGAGTTCTACTGGGATTCACAATGCACATTGCCATTCCCTGTTGGCCTTCCGATAGCTTCTGAAGTGCTGAGCTCTTTGCCCGGCAACACCGAAGACATGGCCTGGGACGGTGATCTGCTAACGATGTGGTCAGCAAATTGCAGAGTCCTGCTAGGCGGCTGCAGTCCATACACACAGTGGGTCGGCAAGAACATCGGAGATTCCATTCCACTTAACAAAGAGCCTGTCGAAGTCTTCGCGCAAGTGCGTTGCACGCGGATCTACCAGTCCCCAAATGCCACCCGGCAATCGTCCCAAATTGGGATCATCACCTGGGAGAACGAGCGGCTTGACAGTTGGCAGGTGATTTATGACTATGGTGACCTTGCAGGTGGGGCTTGGCACACCCGGCCAGCTCGCGAGGAGTCCTTGTGGAGAATCTGGAACAAGGATCCCATGCCGAGGCCCTGGCAGGTTGCAGAGGTCATGTTCTTCACGGACCTCTTCTGCGAAGAAGATAAGCAGGCCTTCGGAGCCTCATCTGAACCTGAGAGGATGGCTTGCATCTGTGGCTTTATTGCGCCAGAAGGTGGCATCGGCATGTGACGCAGCACGGACACAAGCAGCAAGGTTCGAGAAGCAGCAACCCCTACAAAAAAAAGCACAGACACTGGCAGCCGGCAGCACAACTGAGCGATACTGAGCCCCTGAGTCCCTCTCTATCGTTGCAGCTAACGGCGACACGACGGCTCTCTGCCCGCCCAAGGAGCTAGGATTAGCAGTGAAACTGGCGTGCATGAAAACTCATCGCACAGGCTTGCCTGACAGGCACTTGAGAATCCCCGTCAAAGCTCATTGTGTTAGCTCATGCTTGATCCAAGCTCCTCCGCCCTGAAGCCAGCCCGGCAACGGTAAATGCGGCTGAGGTGCCCTTCCGTGGAATTGTAGTGAAGTGTTTCTGAGCCATCACCCCCAGGTTCTCTCCAACTATCAGGTACTGGACATCCTTTCTTCTTGGGCCATCATGCCATGTGAAAAACGTTAGCCGTGGAGTCAACGTAGTTTCTGCAGATCTTTCACCACGTCCACTTGGAGGTTCATGGGTAGTTATAAGTGGGGTTATAAGTCCCCTAATATGGGTTATAATTATGGTTACCCTACTTATAACTACCCATGAACCTCCAAGCAAGGAACCCCGATCTCCAACGGGGCCACCTTCCTGGACAATTGCATCGACAGTCGAAGCTGCGACCGGTATACTGCATCGAAGGCCTTCGATGGTATCAAAACCCTAAACCCTAAACCCTAAACGGGACCGGCATACTGCGTCGAAGGCCTTGGATGGTATCAAAACCCTAAACCCTAAACCCTCAACGCGACCGGCATACTGCATGGAAGGCCTTCGATGGTATCAAAACCCTAGACCCTAAACCCTAAACGCGACCGGCATACTGCGTCGAAGGCCTTCGATGGTATCAAGATGCCAGGCTACCGACTGCCTCGAGTGGAGGGAGCCTTGACTGTTCCGTACATTTTGGGCCCGTGCTGGCCTGTGCCGATCAGTCGTTGTAGACAGCTTGTGAAGAGTTGCTTCTAGGGAGTTTCCGAAAATTAGGTTACCTTATTTTGGGGTCCTTATAATAAGGGTCCTATTAGTTAGGGTACTATATTAGGGTCCCCTATTTTCAGAAACCCCCACTAGTGTAGAACTGAGGATTGATAAGAATAGCCAGCTATGACTGCAGTTTGTGCCCAGGAACGTGGATTGCCAATTGTGACGAGTGGGCCGGATGTGCCTCAATGGAGGCCTGGATTGGCTTAGACTTCGACGTCCTTCCAAAGCAAGTCCGATGCATACGAATAAACCAGCCCGTGCACGAGGGCTACTTCGAGGGATGGGGATATCCGCACTTCACGTCCAGGATCTTGCTGCAGAGTTGGGATGGCTTCAAGTGGGAAGACCGGACTATCTTTGGCGGCCTTGATCAAGGCGGATGGAACAACACCATGCCCAAGGAGCATACTTCCTGGCGAATTGCGAACTTTGATCGGATCCTGTTGTCATGGAGGGTATATGAGCTAGAGCTATATTCAGATTCGGACTGTTTGGGCAGCCCGATGATGGGTGAGAGTGTGGACTCAAATCCAGCACTCCTGTCGGATGAGCAGCAGGTGGCCTGTTGGACCGACCTCGGAAGTTGTGGAGACAATGCTTTCGATCGGCAAGCTGTGACCGGCTGGGAATCGGCGTGCTCTCCGTGCGACCAGCGGCGCGCATGGATTGGACTGAGATTCATGGATGCTAGGAGTGTTGCGTGCTTTCGTTTGATACAAAGCGAGGATGTCCGGCATCGTACGGATGCAATTGAGCTAGCAGAATGGATGGGCGACACCTGGGAAACACGCCGTTTTGAATCTGGAGTTGGCGGTGGAACTTGGAACAGGCGGCCCAGTGGCGTCTCGACTATGTGGCGACTGCTTACCATTGTAGACACTCCAAGGCCGTGGACAATTACTGGACTGGCATTCTACATGGACGACGTGTGCAATGTGCCGCATACCGGCGATCCAATTACGAATGGGAATGAGATACAATTCCGATCCGAAGACGCGTTTGACAGCTCTGATATAACCCAATGGGTCACCAGTTGCACCCCAGCCTTCACAGGACACCAGGGATGCATGGCAAATTCTGCTTGGCTGGGTTTACAAAAGCAGGAGGCCTTCAGTGTTTCTTGTATTCGACTGTACCAGTCCAGGGACAGAAACCACCAGGCGTCTTCGGCCGTGTTGCAAGTCTGGGATGGACTGGTGTGGACTGCATCTCAAAACCACCCAATCCTGACGGAGCTTGGGGGCGGGGCCTGGCAGGTCTTGCCTGGGATCCGCGGCTCCATGTGGCGATTCCTCGCTGACCCATCAGTTGGGGGCCACGGTGTAGGTGTGTCTGAGATACACCTTTACAGGAATACAGACTGCACAGATCGGATCCCAATGGCAGTGCCGAACATTATGCCAATCTGTTCTGGCTATGCTACTGCCAGAGAAGTTGGCGACAAGACCGGATACACCAACCACTACTCCAGCATGGGTGAGCTGACACCAGCAGACCCGCTGAAGGCTTTCGACGGGCTGCTTCACACATTCTGGGCAGACATTGGTGGTGCTCGAGCATGGTTGGGTTTGGATTTCTCCACTCAGGTGTCAGATGTTCAGTGTATTCGGCTAGCTTTTCCGGGAATTCGAGCCCTGCAGCCAAGCTATGGGGAGCTGCAGGGCTGGAGTGGCAGCACTTGGAATTCTGCAGTTTCTGGCTCCACCTCTATCTTCAGCATGGACTCCACGCTTCTTCTCCCCTTGCTGCTTCCTCAGATGCCGGGTAGTGGCATGGGTGCATGCACATGTGCATACCTACGCCCCACTGGCTGCCACTGTAGGTGCAACCCGAGGTGGGAGCGGTAGGGCTCACCTGTTGAGATAATTTCCGAGTTTCGGCGTTTACAGTGAGGTTCTTAGAGGCTGTTTCAGCTTTCTGAATGATGAAGGCGAAAACATGAAGCTCCTCGAAATGCAAATTTTTCAAAAGAGGGCCGAGCCCTCCCTGCGAGGCTGGTTGAGCATCTGTCATGCTTGGTGTGCTTTCATGAAGCAGATAAGATCCTTCCAGAGAGACGAAGAGCGGAAAAGAAAGGAACGCTGACGTCACCCTCCGAAGCCGAATCCAGAATCAGCACACTTTCTGTGGGGCCAGGCTGTTTGGGGCGCAGTTCTCGAGCCGTCGTGGTGAAAGAGAGGAGGAGCGAGACAGAGGAGAAAACCGATTGTCAAAGCAGTGACAAAAGTAGCCGATTCCAACCCAAAGCCATGAATGATTTCGTGTTTGAAGCACGAACTAAACCCTAAACCCTAAACCCTAAACCCTAAGGTGTGTCATGAAACTGTGTTAAGGCCATCTCTGGGTGGGCAAGGCTTCCAGAGGAGGCCAGCGCCGGTGAACTCTTTGTGGAGGCTTCAGAACGTGGCATCTGTCGTGACCTGGGTGGTCTTCGAGCTGGAGATGTACACCGACTTGGCATGCCGGGGTGATCCCATCGTCGGAATGCCTATTTCTTCGGCTGAGGATGCAGTGCTTTCAGACAGATTCAGTGGCCATATGAACCCACACAAGGCCTTTGACAGAGACAACACGTCGTATTGGCAGGCTCACTGTGTGAACGATGTGTGTACCGAAGGGCAAGCTTGGGTTGGCTTGGATTTGGAAGGAATGCACAAAAGTGTCCAGTGTATTCGCCTGATGCAAAGTGGCCTCCGGCACGAGCAAGTTTCCATGGTGGTGCTCGCTTCGTGGAGTGGGGAAGGCTTTCAAGAGCGTGTCAAGTACAATGGACTAGGCAGGACGTGCAAGCAAACAAGGGGTTGTGTGTTCCCAGGCTTGGCGGGGTAGGTGCGGTTCTTCACGGTCCCTGATGTTGCAGGAGGTGACACGTGGAACACTCGCCCGGCGCCGCCCGACACGATGTGGCGCATCGCTTATGGCCAGCGCTCCGGAGAGACGTGTCTGGGTGCCGAGGAGCGTGGCTGGCCACGGTCCTGGGGTGTGACTGAAGTGGAGTTTTTTGTGGATGACGACTGTCAAGTGAAGCTTCCAGGGCCCAAGGAAGGTGTTGATGTAGTTGCTTCAGGCACTAGGGAGGCGGGGATCGCGCCGCTATCGGGGACAGGGCCGCATCTTGCCTTCGACGGCTTAGCATCAACAACCTGGACGGCACAGTGCGGCGCCGGAGATCGGGCCAATCAGCCGGCAGACTGCAGGGCAGGGGTCGAATGGGTTGGTTTGGATTTCAACCGGAAGTTTGACGGCTTGCCTGTCATGATTCGGTGTTTGAAGCTGACCCAATCTCGGAGCTCGGCCTCTGACTGCTGTGATCCAGCCGAAACGGTCATGCTAGATCGCTGGAATGGCACAGATTGGGCCAGGGCAAGTTGGCGCCATGTGTCAGACACTGGAGAAATCTTCGAACCAGAGGCCAGCTTCTCCAGTGTTGCGGAATGCCCGACTCTCAATCCAGATCAAGTTCAACTGGCCCTGAATGGACAACTTCCCAACAGCATCGCCAACCGCCCATCGATTCAGCAGCGGAAGCGCCGACAAGGGGATGAATCCTGGCAAGGATTTCGCGCCTAGGGGCCCAGGGCATTCCCAGGGGCCTAGAGCTTGCGCCCATCTTACGACCGAGCGTTCAGCGAGCTGTCCTCAGGAATGCATCATTCCGAATCCGGCATCCGTGAAGCTGTTGGCCGACCCGTTCTGCGAGAAGCATGCGGCCTGCAAAGAGGCAAAGTCTGCAAAGTTGCATAACGAATCACCACTTGGTCTGTCGCCTGCATCTCCGTCACTTTCCATGGATGTGCGAGTGTGTGATCGCGAGGCCGGATTTGTCGGGACCTGCTGTCCCATGGTGCAAGCCTCGGAGAACCTTTAAATCTTGTCTGGCACATGCCTTGATCTCAGGACTCTGGTATGTCTCGATGCTGTTGTGACTTCAACTTGAATTCGGAGGCTGCTCGTGACACCGACGGGCCCTCTGCGAATTCACGCATGCCAGGTCTTCGAGGATGAGATTCTGGATGAGAAGATTGCCGCAGAAGTGTTGCAAGCTGCTGGAGTAGGCGGGTGCTAAGAGTACATTGCGTGGGTCTCGCGTTGCGTGGGCCGTGCATGCGCAGAGGCTTTGAGCTGATCATGATCCAGTCGGCGTGGTGACCTGAGCTGGTTGCCCTAAACCCTGAACCCTTTCAAAAAAACCCTAAACCCTGAACCCATTCAAAAAAAAACCCTAAACTCTAAACCCCAAACCCTAAACTTTGTGGCGGGTCGTGTTTTGGGCTGCCTTCACGGCCCCAAAACTGCCTGGGCCCCCAAGGACGGTGCTCCCCTTCATCGGCGTCATCTTTGCCCTGCTCTTCCTGATCATCTATGCTGCAAGGGCCTCAGCGCCTCGGGGCGTAGTCCGTCAGAGTCCTGCCAGCAGTCGCCGACAACTCTCTCTGTCCAAGATTCCGAAGCCACCCAGCAGAGATGATGGGACGTCAACCTGCGGAGAGAGGCGGTTTTTCCACTCTGCCTGTGATCTGTGGAAGTCTTCGGATCGGATGCTAGCCCCTCTTGCGCTGAGAAGCGGGAGGCTATGGTACCGCATTTGCGGGCCGACGCACAGGCAGGGCCCTTTGAGCACAAAATGACCTTGGGCCGAGTGCCGAGTCGAGTGCGGGTTTTTGGAGGTGGCTCCAGGGTGGAGGCTTGCTACCAACCATCTTGCACGGTTCCCAGACTCGTGTCCCGCAGCGGTGCCGCGGCCTGGCCCCGCTGAGCTTTAGTGTGGGCCACCTGCCCTTCCCCAGGCTTCATCTTGTACAGCGGAGCCAGTTTGACAAGTGGTGGACGTTGATTTTGAAGAGGAGACACTTGTCCGATTGCTGGTCGGCCTACCGCTGTCAGTGCAGGATATTGCTGTTGCTCTTTGGCTTCATCATTGGTGGTATGCTGCTTTGGGTGGTGATGACCTCAGTATGCCGGCTGAAGTTTCCTCCTCACGCTCTCCACAAGCGCGAAGCTATCGTTAGCTTAGATGCTGTCCTACCTGCTCGCCGAAATGATCACAAGGCAAGGCTTCAATTGATCGGCGCTTGATGCATTGGTCTTCCATGTCGCCAGACACCAACTACTGGCAGGTTTCAGTCGGACTGTGCATGTTTTGCATGTCCTAGACAGGTCAACAGGCCGTAGCGAAGTGCTGGCACAAGCCACTGGGCCTTGTTGTTGAAGGATCATCTTGGCCTGCAGCTTTTTCATCCGGCTGTCCAAGTCGCCGCAGCCTCTGGGACCCTCCTGCGACAGCCTCTCGGCATGAATGTTGTTGTGGCGGGGAAAGTACACTCCCAGGCGCTACGATCCGAAGAAGCCTGCCGAAAGGAGACCGCAAGGGTGGCAAGTCAGAGTTCTGCTTTGGGCTACACTCATGTCCGCTTATTTTCAGGTTGGGTTTCTGCTGGTAGCGTCTCGCTTCAGCATGCGCAAATAGAGGGGATTGATTGCAAGTCACCCAACTTCAGGCGTGCTCCTGCAAACAGTTGCCCAAAGCCAGCAACTGCAGGCCACGTTAGCATACTAGGGATCCTAACTGGGGTTATGATACTTATAACTCTATAAAAAATAACTACTTACTAAGTCCCCCGACCCTCCAAGTAGCTGGAGGAAGCGGCTGGGTATCGTCCTGGGCGTGCCCATCGGTGATCCTGAGGGAGGTCTCGGCTTGGAGCGCGGACCTCGGGCGCGACTGTGAGCCACATTGACTCGAGTTTTGCCTTCCATGCAAGTTGCAACTCACATGGATACCCCTAAACCCTAAACCCTAAACCCTAAACCCTAAACCCTAAACCCTAAACCCTAACCCTAAACCCTAAACCCTAACAGACTCAGCAATAACTATGTGGGTGGTTGTCAAAATTATTGTCCCTTTTTGGGTCCGTAATATAATACGGCACCTATTATTTAGGGTACCCCAAAAGGGACCCTAATTTTTGACAACTACCCATGTGGTGTGGCCAGTTGCACCTGTCGCCCCTGTGACGTTTTTGGTAGACTCAGTTTTGCCTGTTCAGCAGCTGAATCATAAATCCTCGCAAGACGGACTCTGACACAGACGAGGGGATCTAGGTTGCAGTCCAACCACGCTCACGCCAGCAGAGGTGGAACAAGAAGATGAGGTCTCCAAGCAAGCAATAGTTTCAAACTAAGTCATGCGTATGACACCTGAAAGCATACATATCAATAAGGAGCCTCTTTGCGTCACTAAGCTGAAGGTAGTATGGCCAGTTTCAGACACCAAGGCAACACAAGAGCAACATCTGCTTCTGCGCATGCCCGTAGCCAGGGTGCTGCATAGGGTTTCCAGCTCGTCCGCCGAGGTTGAAGCCTCCCAATCTAGCCGGCATCCTCTTCGCGCTCTTCGAAAGCATCGTTTCTACCTAAGATTAGTTGTTCAGCCAAGCAGTTGCATTACCCTTGAACGTCAGCCGCATGGGGTTTGTACCTGGCAGATTCTGGGCCTCGTGGGCGTCGTGCAGGCCATGTTCGACGTCCTCCTTATCAGGCACAGAAGTTGAAGCAAGTTAGACGAGCAACAAACTTTGTACCCAGGCGTCATGCTCGCTATCGTCATCTTCGTGGTCGTCGTCATCGTCATCAGCATCATCATCGTCATCATCATCATCATCATCCTCATCGCCAGTTTCCGCTATATCCGAAATTGACCACAACATTTCCCCGTTTGTACAGCATCTCCCCGTTTCACTTCTGGCACCATGAGGTTTGCCAACAAAAACGTAATTTTTTGGCAGGCTTAGCAACTTGGGGTCTCGGGGGTTTGTCACTTGGATAATGCAAAGCACGGCTCATGGGCTTCCGGGGATGTTTCCCGACGACGGTTTGTTGGGGTTCGGGGTAAGCCAACCGAAACATCTACTTTTAGGGGTTTCGGGCTTGCCAACCAACATCTTCTTTTAGGGTCGGGTTTGTCAACCAAGATCTGCGTTTTAGTTGGGGGGGAGTGCGGATGGGGGGGGAGGGGGGTTCGCGGTCCACTGCCTTGTTATTTCTCTTGGCAGGTATGCCATCGGACGCAGTGGAATGTATTGCACTTTCGCCCGGAAAGATATTGGTTGACATAGCCTGGACTATTTTAGGATTTAGAGGCTTCCAACCAAAATGTTTGTTTAGGGTCTGGGCTTGAGCAATAGTTGTTTTAGGGTTTTAGAGTTTTGCCACCAACACCTCCGTGTGGAGTTTGTTGTTTGGCTACCAATATCTCCTGGCAGGTTTGTGAGGGGTTTGAGACAGGGTTTGCCACCTAACGGGTAAATTAACCAATATTCTTTTCGGTAGGGATTTGGTGTTTCGGGTTCGTTAGCATGATAGGGTGGGGGTGGGGGGCACGCTCAGCGCCTGCTAGCCAACGAACGTAGCTTCGCTGCAAGTTCGCATGTACGCAACATTTTACGAGCGACAGCAGAATCAACGGTATTACCGGTGTCCAGATGCCCTTTAGGGAGATGCGCGGGGCCGTGGGCGGACCCAGACAGCCAGGTAGAGTCCAAGACCTGTCATATCCTGCCCCTCAAGCGTTGGGTGCAGGTTTGCTTTTGTCAGCATTGGCGCGGATGTCTCAGAGCTGTTGTTCGGCACGTAATGCTCCAGTCGACAGGCTTATGCTCCCCTCACTGCATCGCAGGCCGTGGATTTACGGCTCGAAGCTTTCGACATTATCATCCTTGCACCTGGCCGACATTTGTTTTGCAAAGGTAAATGCCAAGCAGCCTCTGGAGTTTGTCGACTTAGGTTCCAAGTCCTCCAAACGTCGATGTTCAGGGTTTGCCATGCGCTTAAGACGACTTGAAGATCGTCAATCGCAGCGTCTTCACCCGGTGGTCTCGAAGAACCTCTGCTAAGGGTACAGTTCCTTGTTGATCTTGCTTCGCGGATGCCTCAGCTGTCGTGCTCTTGAAAGCCTGGGTGAACCTTTGTCATGCTTGCAGTAGAGACTTCCTGGAGGGTGGCCACTCGATTCTTTACAGCGGTCATCAGCACCATGTTTGTGGGCGCACCGCGCTGTGAAGGAGCAGTGGGGTTTGCATCCGGTCGCAGGGAAGGGCGCTCTGTGATGCCATGGGGTTCTCGGCCCCAGCCATCAGAGTTGAACCGGCTGCTGTAAGTGATCAGACCGTAGTTTCTGCTCTTAGCGAGAGAGCAGATGCAGATGCGCATGTCGGGACAAACTTAGGCATTCTTATCTTGCCAAGGGGCAGACCCAAGAGATCTTGCGAGCGTGTACGGAGCCACCAACAGTGCTGAAGCCTGGGCCGAGCCGAGATAGTGCTTGAGTTTGGTAGGTCGGAAGGCTCGTTAGGAACACACACATGAATGTATACATCATTAGCTGTGCGTTGAGGTCTTAGCCGCAGGTGCGCAGGTGCGAAGGGGCTGCGAAGGGACTGGCGGCCGGGAGCTGGGGCGGGTGCGTGGCCGCGTAGGCCGCGGCCTGAAAAGGTCTCGGATTCCGCTTCGTCGACGCACGGCGTCGCACAGCGTTCACGTAGAGCTAGAAGATGTTATGAAGGGGCGCACGAGAGCTATGGACCGCCTGCAGGACCTGTTGTCATACTGTCTGCTTGCTTTTTGATCGCGCGGGCCCCAGCAACCCGAAGTCTGTTCCGGTGCTTTCTCATTCCTGCAAGGTCATCACGCTATTGATGCTCCATCCTGAGATAGTTGGGGCTGGTCCTGTCCACTTTCTGCCCAATCCGACAGCCTTGCAGCATTGAAGCTTCCAGGGTGCGATGGCTCAATTACGACTACTTCGGCCTTCTCACTGCAAGCGGCTCAGAGTGCAGTGCTGTGCCGTCATTCAGCAGGGCTCTTACGTGCAGGCTGCCAAGTACAGTGCCCAGAAAACGCGTCCAACCTTCCAGAAAAGCATGGCCAGGAACTCGGCACCAGCTGGCACGTCTTGCATGTTTGTCGCGATATGTCGGGTAGATTGCCGTATGCGGGTTGCATTGCTTCTGAGGCTGTTGGCTTGACTACGGGTGTCCCTCCGACTTGCTTATGTTGTGGTTGAAGCAGCAACACGGGTAGACAAATTCCGCATAAAAAAGCTCGCCCTATCTATGAACTTGCAGGAAGGTGTATTCTGGTGACTTGCCTAGGGAGATGTCAGTCTTGCATGCCACTTTTTCTTTGGTCTCTGCTCAAATCAGTGGTGCTGTCCGGGCAGTTGCAGAGTGGAATCTTCATCGGCATGCAGTGTCGGGCCCCCGAGTCTTCGTGCTGTGCAAATCCCAGCACTTTCGACTAATTCTGCAACCAGCTGGGAAGAACGTTGGATGCGTGAATCCGATGGCAAACTCAAGTATGCCTGCTCAGGTTTGATGCTGATCTGCACACGCTCTCTGAATTTGGTGGAGATCGATCCCTTCAAGGCCCCGTTTGCAGGTTTGTTTGGGAGCGAATTTTCACAGCAAGCACCCGTCTATTCTGGCGTCCGAATGGAACTACTTGCCGGGGAAGCTATTTCTTAGCTTGGGATTCTGCATGGTCTTATGGTACATGATAGCCCACGTCCAGAGTTTCACCGCGCGTAGTTCGAGTCCTGCATTTCGAGGATTCTGGATTCGCAGATCACCGTTTCAGCAGAACACTGTACATGCTAGGAGGTGCAGCTCAGTTGTCTTATGCAAGTTGCGCAACACACCACAGTTTACGCATCGAACTGATGCCAGTCAGTGGGATCAAGTCGGTAGTAGTGGCACGATGAGAGTGTTTCTCTGTCACCAGGAGAGCACTGGTTGGACGTGCCCATATCCTGTCGGAGACTCGGAAAGCTAGGTCTTTTGATGTAGAAGGCTGCAAACATGATAAGGACGACCACATCTCCGTCATAACGGGCCGCATTTTCCTTGGCGTGATGGCGCGCTGCGGCATGTCTGTGACAAGAGGAGCTCGGCACAGTGTGCTTTGCCTTTGCTGAGCATGGCAGGCCTTGATTACCTTGATCATTTCCTTCCTGTGCGCCAATGGGTGAGCCCCCGTAACGGCTTCATCGTCTCACATATCCAAAAGTCGAGACTGCCACGTAGCAGGCACTTCATGGGGCAAGAGTACATTCTTAGAGACTTCAGCTGGAGTCTGAGAGCCACTTCCATTGTTTCTCTCAGCGCTGGTTTGATGCTTCGAGTTTGCTCTTGAGGCAAGCAGATCGACATGAAACTGACAAAACTGGATCCTGACGCCCAGTGCGCCATGCTTCGTTTTGGTACTGACGACTGTTTTAGTTCTGAGAACTCACGAACCCCAAGATGTCAGTTCGGTAGCGTGGCCACGCAAGCTGCAATGCCAGGGCCAGTGGTGGCGGCATCCTTCGCACAACGCATTGCGCCTCGCTGCAACTCTTGACTTTCGGCAAGCCACTCTTGCAAAGCGATCTCTTTAATGATCTGCATGCAAAACTCATGCCAGTCTTCAGCATGCTGCCCACAACTTTCGGCATCTGGATTGATGGCTGGAATGTCAAGGCAGGCCGTGGGTCATGGGCTGACCGTCTGCGAGAAGCCTGAAGGAAAGTGCTCTGCCAGGGCTATCTGTTGAAGGAGCGTGCCGAGCTTTACGCCGAGGAGCTTTGATGAGTGCATCCTGGAACCTTCGCCTTGATTGCACAGCAGGAGCTGCGAGTTCCACAGTTCTGCTTCAGACTTACATGATGTGCAATGACAGCCGTGGCGGCGACAAACCAAGACAAAGAGCTGCCAAACTCGCCTGCGTGGTAACATGTGACCCAGGTGAACACTGCGGAAAGCCTCACATTCCGTACCTCGAGCTGATGAAGGCGTCAGGCCAGTTTTGGCGTTGAAACTCAAACCGACTTGTGGTTGAGATGCCACGTCTGGTGCAGATTTTGCAGCGCAGCTCTTTGAGATTCTTGCTTACAGGGCTGTTCTAGATGTGCCGAAGCTTTGCACTCTGAATGCCAGGGAGACAGTTGAGCTTGGCATACCAGATCTTTCCCTTCGGTGCTGTCATCGGAAAGGCCCAACTGAAATCTCAGTTGAAGGAGACAGCTCTACAGAACAGGGATACGCATGATACCTTTAGGCACACAGGTAGCATGCAGGACAAAACCCAAGAGATTGGCAAGCACGGCAGTGCCACAGTCGACGAAGCCTTCTCTCGACGTCGCTGTTCGGCGCAGGCGGTTGAGAGATTCAACAACCCACCACTCGTCTACTGGGGTACTGAGCTCAAGTCTGGAGCCCAGACTGGGGGACAGGACAAGACAGAAAAATGTCATCTTGCAGCGTCTTGCCGGAGAGGTGCTTGAGAGCGAAGCCTCACGTGGACAAGGTGAAGTCGATGCAGGGCAGGAAGATGACGGCTGGGCAGGCTCACCTCTCGAGCCAGCAGGCGTAGAGGCGTAGAGGCCTAGAGGCCATATTTCCGCGCAACGGCACCGACAGCAGGCTACGAAGTATCGAGTCCAACTGCAGATGGCAATGCTCAAGGCCTTGCTCGGCTCCTGCATGTTCTTACGTCTGATGCCCGTTGTCTTTTGCTGCAGGATCTGGGCCTGCCCGTCTTGATGCGGGTCTTTTCTGTGACTATGCATCTTGGCATGCAAAAGAGATCATCTGGTCTGAAGATGTCTGAAGGGAGCATTCATGGACTGCTTCCTACCGTTCCTACCTGCCTTGGTTGCCTGTGTTGTTTCCTGGGACAGCTGTGTCACATCCATCCCTGGCAAGGTATGTGACAATGGTATACTTTACAGCAGTGATGACCCAGGAGAATGTCCGAGCCTCAGTCATAGGTATCGATAAGTAGTTCTCGCACAATCTTGTGGATCGTCGCATCGAAGTACAACAACGGCCGCACTTGCTCCACCGAGTTGTGCTATGCGCAGCCATGAAAAAAGGTCGTGGAGCTTGGAGTGGAGATGTTTCAGATCCTCACGTACGTAGCATTCTCCAAGGCTCGATTCCGGCTGGGCTCGCTGGTGTTTCGCAACGTCTGGCATACGAGTGCAAGTAACCCCAACCAATCGACCTACAAGTACAGCTTGCGCAGACAGATACATGGAGTTTGGCTGCCAACATTTGTGATGACATCGCCGATGTCTGATCATTTTTGCCCCTAACCCCTGTAACAGCCGAGGTAGCGGGCCGTCCGGCCCGAACGAACACTCGCACTCCATCACACCCGTGTTCATAACAGGGGAGGGCGTTTATGGTGGTTTCAAGACCGAGTTGCTGCGGCTGCCAGCTCCGCAGCCGAACCTGAAACGGGTACAAGCAGTGGATTGAATGCACAAGTGCACACGGCTGTCAGCGGTAGTTTAGGGTTCGTGGTGTGCACTGGCCATTAGCCCGACCTACCAAGCGCAAACCTACCTTTCTGGCCTGAGCGGGAAGGCGATGTGCGAAGTGTTTCTGCCCATCGTGTGTCAGGGCCTCAGATCTCCTCTTAATGATACATCAAACACGTGCGGAACCGTATCTGCAGGAGCTGTTAAGGCTCTGCAGGCTTGAGTTTACAGTGGCGGCACCACCAGGTTTCTCGTTTCTCTCGGAGCACATTCGTCCTAAGGCGTGGGCATTGTGGCTGCTTTGGTGGCGGCAGCACGGGAGCTCAAAGACCAGGTTTTGAACCAGTGCATTTCATGACGTTTCATGCTCCCCCTTTTGATGGACCTAGAACTCGTCAGGATGTATCATGCATCCTGAGGGGTTTTACGTGCATGATGAAAGGTAATTCAGCAGATAGCAGGCGCGTATCCTGCTGACTTCAGATAGTCTCGTCTCAGATTGTACCATCTGGGCCGCGGTAGAGTTTCAATACTCGGGAGTCGGGAACACATAAGAGTGGTGCAGAGATGCATTGACCGAGTCTGGCGTCGCCGCGAAGAAGGCGGCGAAGGCACCAACTCGCCGATCCAGACGAAGTTTACACTAGAAGCATCGGGGGAGTCAGGCAGCAGTCCAACCGTACCGGCTCTCCCCAGTTGTGGGGCAGCTTCGATCTCAATCTTGAGAGCCATGGGCGATGCCACAATGTGGGGGACTGAGAATGGTATCGGCTCGTTTCAGACATCCCGAGGGTGCTCCATGGCGTGTCTTCCGGCTTTGCCTTTGCCCTCTTCCTCTACCAGGTCAGCGTCACTGTGCGTCTTTAATGTCTTTTGCTTTTGGTTCCGGGATGCTTTGCAAGGAGCCTGGTGTGGACTTCACGCTTGGCTTGGCCGTGGTCTTAGTGTTGCAGCTCATATGGGAGTTTCCGAAAATGAGGGTACCTTATTTGGGGGTCCTTATAATAAGGATCCTACTATTTAGGGTACTATATTAGGGTCCCCTAATTTTCGGAAACTCCCATATTGTGACCTCAGGAGCCGATGCAACTGCTTTGCTCCGGCGGGCGTGCAATCAGCTTCAAACCATCTCACAGTCGCTCTTGGCACAATGGATGTGAAGCCGACTCTGTAAGTTTTTGTTGCGAATGATACGACAGGTCTCCGAGGGTCAGCTGTTCAACATCATCTGGGTTGGTGTTGTGTGATGGCTGGCCGACCTTGTACGGTGTTGGATCTGTAACACTAAGACACAAGCTTCTGAACTGCCTGAAACATTGAACTGACGCTACCGATAGAGCTCATAATGATATGGGAGTTTCCGAAAACAAGGGGTACCTTATTTGGGGGTCCTTATAATAAGGGTCCTACTATTTAGGGTACTAGATTAGGGTCCCCTATATTCGGAAACCCCCATATGGTCTGCTCTCGACCCTGAAGCTGTCGCCTCTCTGTGCAGTGCGCCTTCCTGGGATGGTTGGTCGGTGCATCTCTGGCAGCCAGGGCCTCACTGAGGACACGAGGGCTTATTATTATTATTACTATTACTACTATTACTACTATTATTATTATTATTGTTATTATTATTATTGTTATTCTTATTATTATCTTTATTATTATCTTTATTATTATTCTTATTATTATTCTTCTTATTATTATATTTCGGACTTTCAACCTTGCAGCGTCGTCAGGTCTTGATTGCCCTGTCGTCCTACGCCCTGGAGCTGTGTCGGTGGCTTAGAAATGCTCTCGATTTCCCGTCGAGGCTCCGAAGCAAACAGTGACTTCAGAGATCCCTATGCAGGGCCCCGATATAGGTGTTGGGAGCTTCTTCCGGGATTCTTTTGAAGGGATGGTTGCGTTTTTTGCTGCCTGCAGTGACTCTCGGTGTGCTGGACAAGCTATCGAGCGAATGTAGCTTCTTTCAGGTGCGAATTGCGAGCTCTCTGGGGGCATCATCAAGGCAGATCTGCGCTTGACAGTGTCGAGCTGCATGCTTTGCATTACATGCTGCGTTTTTCGTCCGTTGGTGGCTTCCTCGTGTTCGGTAAAAGAAGCCGCGACGCATGGAAGCCATACCACCTGCAATGAACGACAGTTGAGGGTGGCCGCCACTCTGCAGACTTCTTACTGATGATGTGGATGCAGTAGACTTGCTTGATCTATGTCGTGCCCACATGGTCCTTTCTGCAATTCTCGAGTCCTCCCCGAGCTACTCTCCCTATGCACTTCGGAGTCAATTTTTGCTTTGCTTCTAGTGTTATCGAAATGTCTGACATGTGAGGGGCTAGAATTTTGGCCCGTTTCTGCAGCAGGTAATTCAAGACGTTTGGGCATGTCTTTCCTTGAGTTCTCTATTTTTCGTTGAACAAGTTCTCTTGATGCGACGAAGCCTCTGCTGGGCACGGCTAAACACAGCCGCGAGAGGACTGGCACTGCAGCTATCTTCTCTCTTCTGCTACGTCTGCTGTCCTGCTCTACTTCCTACCCTCCTTTCGAAAGATAGTGAAGGTGAGTGGGCAGTCTTGTGCACTGCTCCTGTGCCGAAGGTTTGCTTTGCAGCGATGTCGGCGGTAGGACTTGCCAGGCAGGAGGGAAGATACATGGTGGGCAGCACGAGTGTGCTCCAGCAGCTTCAATGTACGTGCCAGGGTTTTTACCTGGAGACTGGCCGAGACGAATTTCTACCTTGCAATGTCCATGCTGGCTTGAAGACCAAGTGGGTAGTTGTCAAAATTATGGTCCGTTTTGGAGTACCCTAAATAATAGGTGCCGTATTATAATAAGGACCCAAAAAGGGACCATAATTTTGACAACCGCCCAAGTCCATCCCGAATCCTTCGACCTCCAACTGCCCCACGGACGTGTCGCTGAGGCTCTGGTTCTGGTGCCGGGCACCAACCTTGCCTTCAGGAAGACTCCTCCGGAAGCAGACGGTGGAGGGCCCAGATCTTCGGAGGCACCACTTCGCCTTCTCTGGAAAGCTTGAGGTGCCGAGTCTGAAAGCAGCGTCGGCGACTGAAGACACTGATGGTGGTGAAGCTGTGTGAAGAGTGAAGTCTGCGGTGTTGGGCGGCTCGTGAGCTCAGATCTGGCCCTTGGTTTCCACCGCACGCGTCATGCGGGGGCCTTGCGACGCCTTGCGATGCCCTGCACGTGGTGCCAGTTTTCGTTTTCTCCGGCACTGCAGTGCTCCGCAGTCCTCCTCAGGTCCGGTCCCTTTGGCGTTATCGCTGGGGTCTTCGGTGCAATGGTTGCATACGAGGTCGCAAGCACGAAAAGGGGCACAGGTAGCATTTCCTGTCATGACCTGTGCCCTGCAGCCCATGGCGACCCAATTCGGAGCGGATATCGGCTTGCTCGTGTCAGTGGGCTTCGGCTACCTCTTAGGCCAGGGAATCACTACATAGCAGCGCAGCGATGTTGAGTTTTTTGTGCAGGTTTGGCTTACGGTTTGGCCACGGACAAGATGCTGGAGAAGCCAGCAGGCACCGTGTCCTTTCAGCTTGGGCCTGGCAACTCTCATCGCGCTAGAATCCAAGGTAAATGGAGTGTGGCAGCAGGGACGACTGCGACGTGCTCAGAGTGCTTGTGACTAAATGAATTGTGCGAGGCTTTAAGATGGATAGCTCGCGTTTGTGCTCCACCTTGTCAGGCTGCGCTAGGGACCAGCCTTCTGATCCACTGGGTCGTGTCCTTGACCTGACACTTGGGTCCAAATCCAAGCAGTCCTTGCTTGAATGGATGAGGCCATTGGGGTCATCGTGGGCTCCGTAGTGGGCAGCCTCACGGGGGCGCTGATCGAGCGGCGGGTGATGAAGGCGGCCGTTCTTGGCGTTCACCGAAGCCCAGAAGGATTCAGGATTTGCGGATATTTGCGGCTTTTCGGTGGCGGGTCTTTAGGCAGTTTTAGGTAGCGCAGCCCGTGCTGCCTACTACCTGTCGCAAGTGCTCCAGCACGGTGGGTGTGGTCAATCTTCGGGGTCTTCGCGGTTCAAGCCTTGTGAGGAGATGGATGCACAGTGCCTGGAGCCACCGCGCTTCACGAAGAATGTCATGCAATCCAGCCCGCAAGGGGCCAAGCAAGTTCGTTGAGAGAGTACAGGAAGAAGAGAACAGACAGTGAAGCATGTTAGCCAGAAGTCAAGGTCGGAGAATTGGAGACCATAGACGTTCTCCCTCCCTCTCTCCCTCCCCCTCCAAGAGTAAACATTCTTCTTGTGGTTCATGGACTTGGACGATGGCTGTTGGCATTCTGTGAGACACGGAGCAGTGCCAGGACGATGGGTCCGGTCTCCAACGTGGTTGCAGCCATGCGTGACAAGTCAGAGAGAGAGGCTGGACGCTCTCTCCGCCTACTTGGAGGTTCATGGGTAGTTTTAAGTGGGGTTATAGGTCCCCTAATATGGGCTATAATTATAGTTGCCCTACTTAGAACCCTACTTATAACTACCCGTGAACCTCCAAGTAGTGCCATGGATGTCTGCCCTTGCTGACACAGCAGTTACGTGCAGCCCAGGCAGAAATACACACCAACCTGCCCACATTGTACAAGGCCAATTAGATGAGAGCTGCCGGCTGTCTTGATTGTGTTGAAGCACGCAGTTGTGATGAGTGGCCCTCTGGTCTTGGCACACTTTAGGATGCAGGCAGATATTGGTGCCCGAGGCTAGGCTCTATACTGTCTCAAACAGTCGTTGCTCCAGCGAACTTGAGCAGAATTTCGGTCCCAAGCCCGCTCCAAGTGTATTACTAATCAGCCCTCGATCCCGGAAGTTGGGATAGAGGAGGATGGAAAGAAGGAATGCAGGAAGGGAGAAAGCAAGAAGGATGGACAGAAGGAACTCCGTACCTCCACTTTCAAGTCTCTAAAGCCTGAAACTCCAAACTCCAAAGTCGAAACGACAAGACCCTGCAACTCAAAATCTTAAAGGCCTAGACCAGGCCCCAAACCCCTACACCCGACAAACCTGACAGCCCTATAAACCCGGTGAGCTCTGTCTCGTGCTCATGTTGAAGCAGCCAGTGCACAGCACCAAACGCTCACAACTGAAGAGGAAAAGCGCTGAAGCTTCTGCGTTAGGGAGGCTTAGAAACAGGCGAACGCTCGAAGATGCCTAGTGAATTCGTTAGCGCGAGCTCAAGAGATCCCAGGCTTCCGAACGGTAGAGACTCGTGAGAATATCCTTCCAGAGAGGCGCCCTCCCAGTGCAACAGCTAAAGACAGGGATGCAGAAAGAGACCCGTGAGATGACAGTCCCTCCGTGATTTGTGGCGCAGCCGATCTGCTATGTCTGATCAGGCAAGTGCACCCGGCAACCAGCTTGCACGAGCCGACTCAGGCGTGTACGCACACAACAATCACATCTCCTGCGTCAGAGGTGCATGTGCGCGCCTGCAACACAGGTTTCAAGACGGGAAGTTGCCTTAGACCGAGTGATGCATGCTGGTGCTGGCGTCGGCCAGGATATGGAAGCGCATATGATGACTTTGAAAAGGAGCGGACCCAGTTGCCATTTCAGTCGTCTCCCTGCCCAGATTGATGCCCGACCAACAGTTGCTTTGGCAACTTCGGAGGACAGTGCAAGTGTGCCAGGCAACCCGCGCTGACTGAAACCTCCTCCCCTGACTTGGCCTTGCAAGACGGATCCGGAACGCCTGGGTCTCCATCTGCTTCGAGGCTGCTTCCCTTGCATCTTTTGCCATTCTCCTTGATGAGGCAGCTGGACCTTGCCGTGGTGGGAGGTGTTCAAGATGAAATGGAGCCAAGGAGGCAGCATTGCGTTCCTCCGTTGGCTGTTGTCGTGAGTCCTAAACCCTAAACCCTAAACCCTAAACCGTGTGACGGAGTCAGTAGACTTCGTGGCCTGCCCTCAGGCCGGAAGACTCCCAGGACGAAGCGATGGAGAGGCGAACGTCGGAGCCAAGGTGCCGTCCAGCCAAAATCTCATCGCTTGGAGGTTCATGGGTACAGTAGCTATAAGTGGGGTTATAAGTCCCCTAATATGGGTTATAATTATAGTTACCCTACTTATAACCCTACTTATAACTACCCATGAACCTCCAAGTGGAGTGTCAGAAGCCTCTCACATCCTCTCCACATTGGTCGCTAGACCGCTCGACGATGCAGACAGCGCTGCGGTGTTTGGCACGACCTGTGCTCAGTCTGTCTGCAAAAGCATGCATGTGCACTGCACGAACGGCTCCGTGCGCGCTCTCTCCTTCGGGTTTGATGGGTCCCAAAGCCTAGATGACTGGTGTGAATCGTTTCCAGCACAGACGTCCGCTCAGTCACCAGGGTGTCAGCCATACAGAATTTTTTCACTATCATGCTGGAAGGATCAATCAGTCTTTGTTTATCGCCTTTTGTGCATGATGGGTGACTATTGCCTCATTTCTGCTGCCAGGGTGTTGAAGGATTACTAGCCACATTCCATTGTCCATGGTGTTAGCACATGCTTTCTGGCCAGCTCAACGCAGTTCTCAGATGCTTAGTTGGAGGAGTTTAGAATGCATTGCTTCACCGTGTGTTGGGTTGAATGAGGCAAGTAGATTCCGGGCCGGTGTACAGTACATCTGTATTATTTGTGCATGTTGGTCGTGCGAGCATATTCGGTGTCCCACGTTTGCGCGAGTCCTATTGTCGTCGAAGGATCAATACACAATTTCTGGACCAGGTCGCAAGCAAGCTGGCATTCCTATGGTGAAGTTTCAGGACGCTTGAGCCTTTAGCAGTTGCCACTCTTGACGCAGTACGGGTCACTCTTCTGAGAGCCCCCCAACAAATGCTACTTTCGCAGGAGCTTCTCCGCAGACTTCACCGCAAAGAACGGCCAGGCCGTTTCAGAACAAGGCGACGACCGACACTCTCACGACCTGCCTAAGATGGTTCGGACTTCTTGGGTTACACGTAGCTGTTTTGCACGAAGCCTTCTTGGAGGTTCATGGGTAGTTATAAGCGGGGTTATAACTCCCCATCTCCAAGTTCTCCCATCCGGCAGGATGGTCGAATAGGGTCAGACACAGGAAGTGGATGGTTTCAAGTAACGGACAGCATTTCCGGCGGCTTTCATGGAATCTCACACAGTTTCGGCCTACACCCTAAACCCTAAAACCCTAAAACCCTAAAACCCTAAACCCTAAACCCTAAAACCCTCTAAAACCCTAAAACCCTAAACCCTAAACCCACGACAGAGGCCGCTAAGCGAACTTCCTTGGCTGCCTCGGCCAAACAGGCCAAGGCCTGCCCAGGGTTGATGCGAAAGCAGCACAGGATGACTAGGGTTTAGGGTTTAGGGTTTAGGGTTCAGGGTTTAGGGTTTAGGGCTTAGGGTTTAGGGTTTAGGGTTTTAGGGTTTAGGGTTTAGGGTTTAGGGGTGCAAGAAGCGGAAAGCAGCAGCAATGTTCCAAGCCACCAAGGCATGCACTTGCACTCTCGAAACCCCGAGGTGAAGAATCAGATCCCACCGCCCGGTCCGCGAGCAGTACAGGGCTCGGAGGCTTGAGGCATCACTTATGCAGTTGGGTGGTTGTCAAAATTAGGGTCCCTTTTTGGTTCCTTATTATAATACGGCACCTATTATTTAGGGTACCCCAAAATGGACCATAATTTTTGACAACTACCCAGTTATCCCAGACGCTTCACTTGCCATGAGACAGGGGTAATTTGAGGTCGCATGGTCCTCGCACTGTGTATCACCATTTCCCGATCAATATGCTTACAGGTGCTGAGGCAACAAAGTCGACAGACACAGAAACTGTAGGTAAGGCCCCTGCGCACTAATAGAGCGCTCGAGGGATACTGGTAGTTGTGCACAGGTCTGTCTCTCCATAGTCCTGTTCTACCAACATTACTGTGTGGTCAGGCTCTGCAAGCTGCACCTGGACAAAGGGTAAGGCATTGTGTTGGTTCCCTCCCCTCCGATCATCGTGTTCCTTTCCGGCAATTTGGCTACTGCGCACTGAGTATTCGCAAATGTCACGGTCAAGCGTATGTTCGGTTTCCTGCATCAGGTTTCATCTCGTCACTTCGCCTTCATCTCCTCTGTGTCACTTGCGAGGTCTGGGGCGGTGATGCCGGGCCCGGCGGTCCAGCCGGTTCTGGTGAGCGCGGGCTCGTCCAGGCCCAGATGGAGCTTGGACGGTTCGGCCGCAGAGGAGGGTTGCTTGGGCACAGGGATCCCTTGAGGAATTCCTAAACCCTAAACCCTAAACCCTCAGATTGCTGTGGAAAAAGGCCCTCAAAAAAAATCCCTAAACCCTTGAGGTAGCGATTCCACGAGGATTTTTGAAGACTGAGTTCCAGGGCACGGGCCTTGCATGTTCATCCCTGGAACCGAAGCCCCAGGAATGATTCCGAGTGGTGAACATAGACCCTTAGCATCAGAAGGTGTTCACAAGCACAAGCAACAGCTTGAGATGCCGTGGCAACAAGGCCTGAAGCAGCTTGAACTGAACAGCTTGGTCGTTTTTGGGACCCTTTCGGGTTCGGGTGGAGAGCTTCTTCAGGCATGTTGTCCCCGACTCGACTTCTTTGACTTCTGCTGTCGCAGGCTGCCGCACAGGCCGCAGACGCCACTGGTACTTGGCTCGGCTTTGGCTTTGTTGTACGTCTTTGTGCCCAAGCAGCCCTGCAGGTCATGTGGCCGGTTCGCAAGGTTAGTGATGAAGGCCAGGAGGGACGACATGCATGCAGTGCGTGCATGTCCATGTAAGTGGTTCTGAAGCTGGCCAGCCCCGTTGCGGTCGTCTGCGGCCCGGTGAACCATGCAGGACAGCATTGGAAGATGAGGCTGCCACGAACACGCCGTTTGAAGACACACGGATGTTATTTGATAATGAATGCCGTCTGGTCCACAGCAAACGGTCTGGACTGGTAGCTCTGAGCACTGCCAAATGGCACTGCAGAGCATGAAGAGCTTGCAGCACCGCGTTGAAGTTGCAGTGCACTCGTGGAGCTTAAGGGCAACAAGTGAGTGAGAGCCTAACGTCGCAGCTAAGTCCAGCACACTACATAGAATCCAGGAACAGCAACAGTCGGCCGGACACGGCCTAACTGCCGAAGTCGAAGTGTAGTAAGTTAGTAAAGTGTTGAGTTCCACGCAAGCGGGTAGGTGCACAGCGGATACGCGCGGCACCTCGCGTCTTTCAGTCCAAGACTGTATTGCACAGCGAGTGTGCAGGAAGTGGAGTTTCTCAAAACCGGGAGCCAAAGTGACAAGGGATGCAGCATACTGGTCAAAGGCTCATTGAGAAGCCCGCATGCATGCCACATCATGTCGCTTCGTCTGCAGAAAAAGGACAGCACAGCCAAAGGGAGCATGTGAGCTCCGGTTCGCTGAACGAGTCAGCTTGCCACAGAGAGCCGGAAGACATAGACACAAGCTCCTGGAGTTGCTCGAAGTGGGTATCCTTTACCAAGGTATCGCAGTTGCTGGCAGCTTGACTGCAGTTTCAAAAGACCCTTCCAGCCCACACGCATAGTTTCCTTTTGGAAGCCAGAACCGAACCCTAAATGTTGCAGACGTACAGGGGGGGGCTTGATGCATTCTTGTCATGACGGATTGCTATGGGTGCGGCCAATGGAGCTTCCAACAGTCGCAGCGACGGCAGTGCAGGCGGACGTGGCGCCAGTTCGGAGCGAGAGAGAGAGAGAGAGAGAGAGTGAGGGAGTGCAAAGTGTTGTAGGGGGACAGTCCGGTGCGAGGTGTTCTACGGGGGAAGTGTGCAGTTCCGAACAGTCGCCAAGCCGTTGAGCAGTAATAAACTGCGAGACGGAAAACAGAGCATGCAGCAGCCTTAGCGAGAAGAGGCCGGGGGTCCAATAGGTTTCAAAATGGGGGGATACACAGAGCTTCCGATCCGCGGCCTCAACTCGTAGAGCAAGTTCGCACAGACCCAGAGACCCAGTGCGCGTGCGCGCGCGCGGGGAGGGCAGGGACCTGCCTTCCTTTGGCTGTGCAGAAGAAGAAGTGAGGGAATGCACAGGCCTGGAGGCGCGGTGGGGGTACTTAGCTTCGCAGTTTTCGTGTTACCGACAAGTCCCGATGCAACCTCGAACCGGGGCCGACCAGACTTGGAATTCCGGTGCGCGCTTGCCTGCAGGGGCAGGGGAGTTCCGCATAGTTTCCCTATTCCTCCCGCTGTGCCGAACAAGAGAGACGAAGAGAGAGAGAGGGGCGGGTTGGGTGTACTTACTAGTCCTAGCGGTTGCTGGTTGGGGTCCCGGTCAACCGAGCCTTGCGGAGGGGATGCGATCGCAGACCCGTCTGGCTATGCTGAACAAGAGACCGTCTAAGAAACGTATGGTATCGCCTTCGTCGTGAATCTTCGTGGTTCAAGGCAGCTGTCTTTGAACCTGTCAGCCCTCTGCATGTTTGCATTGTTTAAAGTTTAGACTTGACCGTCGTAACCAGAACAACTAACGATAACTAACGGTTTACCTTCGACCTTGTCAAAGTGCTGCTGTACACGAAACTGAGTTTGTTCAGTTCTACTCACCTACTGAACCAGCGAGGCAAGACTATGTCTCGTAGCTTCGTTCGGCATCTCCCATTTCTCTGCAGGCAGGGCAAGCCGCGGGCGTGGCTTGACGGTTCTCCAGCCATCACCTGCAGGTCTCCGGAATTCCCTTTTCGTACATGTGCCGGCACCATGAATTGGCTTGACTCTGCAGCAGGACCGGCACTCTCTGCGTATTTTGCTGGACCCTACCTGCAGGGCGAGGTTCACGACCCACAGCAAGGTGCCACTGTTCGTCCGCATGATTGCTTATTTCATGAACTCCTACCGAACCAGCTTGTAGAGAGGATCCGAGATTGCAAATCTAGTTTGGCTGAAGACGCTGTAGAAATATTGGGCTTCGAGGCAGCGACCTATCAATCCCAATCATCGAATATTGGCTGCTTGTGACGACGACTACGACTACTACTAGTATGTGTTTCCATGGACCATGGTGAGAGAGCCAACCAAGAGCAGCACGTTCACAATTGCTGCCAGACCAGGTACGACTCTGCCCCCCATGTCCCGTGTTCTTCGCATTAGCCAAAAACATGGCACATGATTGAGCAACGTCCCTTTGCTACATCCTGACACGCGCCGGGTCTGGATTTAATCCTCAGCTCCGCAGCATACCGGCACGTCTGTCCTTTCTGAATCTTCCATGGAAGTCCTCCGCCTCTGGCTGGACCTTTGCATTTCTGGGATGGCTACGCGTTCACTCTTCCGACATGTGCCTCCTCCCAGACCAAAGCTCAGCTGAATGTTCGTGGATGCGAGTGCAGGTGCCGAGTATACGGCCACAGTGGAGGAGATCATCAAGCACTCCCTCGAGACCTGTCTGCCGTAAATTGCTTTGGGGTCATCGCGGCAAGGCTGACGTGAAGCGATGTAGGGGCTTAAGGCGGAAAACATGGCTGTGCTGGCGTCGTGCGCATCGCCTTCAGACTATAGCAGGTTTTTTCCGGAGGATTTTTCTTGCAAGAACCTGAGCGCATGCCCGCGTGGATTTATCTAGAAGATGTTGATGTGAGATGTGCTATATCCGGTAGTTGTGTAGTAGGAGCTGGAGTACGAAAGCATTGGGACTTGTTGTTGTGGTCATTGTAGTGTCGACAGAGTTGCTTCGTGTCCGTGGTAGGCTTTTCTGATGCAGGGTTATGCCAACATGTTCTACCCTAAATCCTAAACCCTAAACCCAAAACCCTAGTCTCGCTACGCCAAGGAGCGGAATGTGACGGTTTTCGAGCACCGGGCCACTGGGATCCGCGTGTGGTCTGAGGTGGGGGAATGGGGGAAGTGACGTTGAAGTTTGAGTATCAGAGCGCAAAGAAGCTGTGGCAAAGCCACACCAAATTTGCCGAACGGTTCCCAGCCAGGAAAGTTGACATAACCTATCGAAAAGCGGATAGAAAGCTGTGTGACACAATGCTATTCGTACACGAAGCATTTCGAGATTTTTGCATAAACCTTGACGGGTCACAGCCGTATTTGGGAATTGCGAGAAATGCACCTGGAGCTTCCAGAAATTCTTTTGATCCGACTCCACCGGAACAGTCCCATCAACCAATCCTGGCAAACCCCCGTGACTCTTCAAGGGAGGGGGGGTTTCAGCGTCAGGCATTCTCGGGCGCTGCCGGTCTGGCCTTTCTGTTCCAGCCGTCCGCATGTCATTACCCATAGGCCCTAAAGTAGTTCCATTTTTGGGGTTCATAAGGTAATCCCAAAAAGGAACTACTATGGGGCCTCTGGGTAGGGGTCTCAATAATTACCTCTAGTTTTTGGGGGTTCCTTACTATAATGATTAATGGGCCCCCAAAAAACCCAATCCATGGGCACCCATAGGCCCTAAACCCTAAACCCTTTTTGGGGCTCATATTTAGAATCCGATAAGGTAATCATAGGTAATCCCAAAAAGGAACTACTATGGGGCCTATGGGTATCAGCTTTCCGAAAAGCTGAGAGACGCAAAATGCCCGCACAGGCACTGGACCTGCGGGCGGCTCAGCCGGGCTGTCGGACGGAGGTTCTTTACCACTACACCACCAGGCCAGTGGGGTTCAGCCTAAAGTAGGGGCTCCGAAAATAAGGCACCCTACTATTTAGGGTACTATATTAGGGTCCCCTATTTTCGGAAACCCCCAAATAAATACCAACACTATTTTGGGGGTTCCTTAGTATAGTTATAGTAGAATGGGCCCCAAAACCCTATTCTAATTATTAAGGCCCCTACATTATAACACTTCGCCCCGGCCACTGATTCAACCGGTATCTGGCCAGGGAAAGCTTCAGTACCTTCCTCGACCACCGACAGCCAGTTCAGGAGGCTTGGGTCGGGTGAGTCCAAGAAGCATTGTGCGTCCGTTGTGGAAACGCGGATTGCTTTTACTCCGCGTGTCCCCGCACTTCGAAGTCTAGAGGTTGTCCTGGGTAACTCAGGGTGGTGGTACTTCTTATCTAGCTTACAGCAAAGTTTCGATGGTATGAGTTGTGCAGCTTTTGCCACAAAGAACGTGCTGACTGACGCGGCGAACCGCTGACCGAGCCGCGGCAGGCCGCGAAAAAGAGCCGAGGGAAGACAATCCGAGCGCTGTTCTAACTGCCGTTCCAAAGTTGCAATTGTGTAGTTTGAAAAATGCAGTGCGACAGACAGAGACCTGTTCATCTCCTGGGGGTTTAGGGTGGATGACTAGGCGAAGGCAGCCGCGCTGCCAATGTTATTTTTTTGTTTTTGTTTTTTGCCTTTGGAGAAGAGCCGTGCCGAAGTTGGCCCGTTTGGGGCGTGGCAACTCCTGCAAAACATCGGAAGTTTTGCAGCTGATTTTCTGTCAGTCCTGTGCGGGGGGTATCGGCCGTTTTGGAGATGGGTGTTACAGAGAAAATGTCATCGCGGAGAACTCGATTCGCTGTGGAAGCCTATCACGAGAAGCAGCACATCGGCCTGATTGTTCGTGCTGTGAGGACAATTGCGGAGCTGTAGAGGCTGAAGACGTTTCGGTGCTCTGCATGTTCGGGACAAAGACACGTGCTGCAATGGACAGTTCGCTGCAATTCGCCTTACTTGGAGGTTCATGGGTAGTTATAAGTGGGGTTATAAGTCCCCCAATATGGGTTATAATTAAAGCTACCCTACTTATAACCCTACTTTTAACTACCCATGAACCTCCAAGTACAACCTGTCCATCGTGTTTTTCTGTCGGATCAGAAAGTCCATCCAAACCGTTTTTGTTGCAAAGCCGGGGGCACCCTGCTGCCAGGCACTCAAGTCCTTGTGCTATGGTGTTGGGCTCCCAGATGTCACTGAAACGCAGAGTGTGGAAGCAGCCTGTCTGACGCTGGTGCAACGCCGCCACTCGGGGCTACATGAGCCTGGCAACTTCAAGTTGCTTGGCAGTAGAGGCTTTCTTGCGGTATGGGAGCAAATGACCCAGGAGCCACCCAACATGAGGGCGAGTTCGAGGTTGGGATACCGCAGTTTGCAACAGACACTTTCCTACTGTGCGGACCGCTGAAACACCACTCCGGACCAGTGATCATGTTCCGCCCACCGTGAAGTATGTTGTCATATGTTGCCCATGCCATCCTGCTGTTGTCCATCTGAAACACCGCATCTCACCACAAACGAATCTCAACCCACGCTGCTCCACAGCAGATCATTGAATTGCCTGAGTGGTCCTCATTGTTGCAGGGAGCCGAACCAGCTCCGCGGCACCCACTCGAACTCCTGGCGAGTTGCGCTTTCCAGTTTGGGCATTCACGAGTTGTGCTGGATACCTCGGATGACCGGTTCAGGCACGCGGCCTTTAGCATACCCTTGCTGGCGCCCGCAAGCTGCTGTGCCTTGGAATGACATAGCCGAAGGTCCAACAGCCGATTCCTCCTTGGCGATTGTCGCCCAAGGTGAGCAGACACCTGACGAACCCGAGAACTGCTGGACTCCTAGCATTCGTCTGAAGTCTTGATCCGCAGCCAGATCATTTTTCAGTCCATAGTCGCACATTGAGCGAAGTGTCGATCAGCAATCAATGCAGTTCCACGGCAGCGTTGATACCGAGACCTTCTGAGCTTCTCGGTTGGCGATTTGCAGAGGGTCGCCATGTCAGGATCCTGGGATGACACCTCACAGCAGAAGCAGAGCGACAGTCTATTTTTGTACCGGGACAGGCTCGGCTGGACATGCTTGCGGCCGAAGCTGCTTGACAGGTGAGGGAACCATTGGCACCAGACTCAGACTGCTCTCGACGTTCTTGCTACAGGCCCTGGGCGCAAAAGCCAGGCGAACTGCGAGAGGCGCGGTTCGTCATTTCAAGGGGGGAGCAGAGAAGGCCAGATTGGCATGTTCTGTGGCTCGTGGCCGTGGTGTGGCTCGCAGCACGGAATGAGTGTAATGTGCCCACATGCACTCAACAAACAAAATCAGTACCATGAGCATTGTCGCAGCACTGCCCTACCATTCGAGCCGGCGTAGCTCTCCACAGCCCAAGTCCCTGCTGATGTCATGTCCAAAGTACGAGCCAATGTGATTGGCAATGGCTTTACCAGGTTACGAGGAAGCTTGGCAAACTAGTTAGGGAGCTGTGCCAGTGAGCCTCGGTGTATCTACTACATATATGCACATGTATGTATGTGTGAATGCACGTATGTATGTATGTATGTATGTATGTATGTATGTATGTATGCATCTCTGAATGCCTGTATGCATGCATGCATGCATGTGTGTGCACACTTTTGCATACATACATACATACATACATACTTACATACATACATACATACATACATACATACATACATACATACATACACAGATAAATGAATAAATGCTACAGCATACGGCAACATAACCAAATACAACATAATGTAATGTGATGTACAGTAGTATGTTATGGCAAATAATATAAATAAGACAATATACAGTTTCGTAATATTCATATAGTACAACATCGTACAGGAAAAGCAAGAATGCCATGTAACATAATATAGTAGAAACCTAAACAGTACAGTGAACACTAGTTTGAAATAAAAAGTTCCAAGTTGTATACTATAGTATAGTATATGGCAAGTTGAAACTTCTGAGATAAACATAGAGTATAGCACGGTATATTTTAGCACATTACTATAGGATGATAGGATACAACATAATATAATACAAGACAATATGATGAAATACAGTATTATGTAATATTCATGTAATATAAGGTAATGAAATGTCGTAAAATGTCATAAGCAGTAACAGCATGCCATAAAATGCAAAAAAGTAATATCTTATACTCCACAAGATAGTACAACACAGCATAACACAGCATGTTAGAATAACACTCCATTGCAGCCCGAATCGAGCACGAACGCCTTTCACCCTGCACCGCGACGTTTGTTTGGTGCGTGTTTCGGTGATTTTGGTGAGCGTTATCTCAAAAGTTGTCGACTTTGCAAACTCGAGCTTCGGATTTTGGAAGGGTTCGCAGGGGTGGGGGGTGGGGGTAATGACGACTCGCTTGCGTGCACGTTCAATTTACTTGGTATTTACAGTGCTTTTGTAATGTCCTGCCACCGCTTGTTGCCTTAAATGTCCATTTGTCGACGTTGCAAGCTTTGGTGCTTGTGATGATGAACATGATGGTNNTGACAGTTAAGGAAAGTGAGCCTCTGCAACTTCTGCAGCTGTCAAAGATGGGGAGCCTGAGCCCGTGCATCTTCTGCACCTGTCGCAGTTCGGGAGCCTAGAAGCTGCCACTGCCCAGCCCGGATGGAGCAAGTGTAGTTGGTAGGGGGGGGGGCTGGTAGTAGTAGTAGTAGTAGTAGTAGTAGTAGTAGTGGTAGTATTAGTAGTCGTAGTACTCTTCGTGGAGGAGGAGGAGAGCATGAGGAGGAGTAGGACGGAGTAGTAGTGAAGTAGAGTTGTTGTAGTCGTCGTCGATGCCAGCAGCAGCAACAGCAACAGCTAGAGGAACTCCCTTTTGTGTACTGCTTGTCAAGTTAGTGCCCCGACTCGTTCATACTGGTTTGCCTATGACGGCTTTGGGGTTGGCTCCACAACAACTTTTCTCTTCTTCGAGAGTCAGCGGGTTTGCACGCTGGCTGCACGGTGACAGAACCAGCACCTGACCTGTTAAGACTACTCTCTGGCTCGCGATCACAATGCTGCATTCTGCCTGCAAATGGGACCATGTTCACAGAGATCGTGCTAATGACATTCAGGGGAGTCGAAGCTTTCTGACTCCCGGTCATTGCAATGTACACTCGTTCGTAACCTGCCACGGCCGTTTGGCTTCTTCGAAGACCCACGCTGAATCGCAAAATCCATTCGGTTGCATCTACATCCATAGCCAATTCGCATATCTAAAATTTTTGCTGTACATCTATATTCATTTACTGTCCGCTATTCTCAGGGCTTGCGTGCGTGTTTGTGTGGGGAGCTGGCATGTATTTCAACAGAAGCAGGATTGGATGTCGCGCACGACGAAGAGCGGGAGGCGCATGGGCAGGAAGAGCTGGGCGTGTCACAGCACTACCATATTTGCCGCCACGGTTTAGGGTTTAGGGGGGGGTTCAGGGTTCATTGTTTAGGGTTTAGGGTTTAGGGTTTATGGTTGCTTCTTCTGCACAAGTATACTCGCAGCTTTGCGCGCTTGCGGGGCAGGCCGATGATAAGGAGGATGATGGCCACGACAGGACCCGAGCGGAAGTAATACATCTTTCAAACTCTCGAGGATTCTCGGATGTACCCGACCCATTGCTTAATGACCAAACATACTGAGTAGCACTTGGAACGGGAGCATGAATGTTACTGCTATCCCGAGAGTGACCTTGCAAAGCCTGACGCGTGCTGCTTCTGTTGCAAAGTGAGCGCGGGTGAAAGGGTCTGACCAAGACACAACA